TACGTGACGGATAAGCGTAACGATCGGCATTGGCCTCCGCCATCGCGGGTTTACGGGAGAAGAGGTGACTGGATCCTCCTTTTAATTGCGCCAAATTCCTCAAACGTCTCGCGCGCATTAGCGCCGGTGTCGATTAGCGGCACGAAATTCGTTTCCGCGCGACTCGTTTTATACGTTGTCGGCGTCGGATGCCCTCACCGGCGGATTTAGAACTTCGCGAGCTTCGAGTGCGGAGCAACGACTCGGACATTTTATTTTACATAAGAGCTAATTTGTTTACCGTTTAATTTAAGCGCTCATGAATTTAAAAGAGGGCGCAGCTTCAGAGGATCCACAATGGCGAGAGACTTTTAACCGATCGCTTGTTTGCGACGTTGTTGTTAAGAAAGACGAAAAAAAAACCACGTTAAATGTGTAATGACTAAACGAGCTTGTCGCGTGAGATATTTTATTAATAATGATGTCTTATTAAGCGCGCGGTCGCAGTGCTACTCGAGGTTATCGGTTTTACAGGATGGAAAGGAGGCCTCTCCCCGAGCGCACGGCGCATAATTCTGACATAATTTTCCATTACGAAACGAGCGAGCAAATTCACGCACCGGTATAACGAGTGCATGCATCGTCGTCGTTTAGGGCGAGATACGCCGGTGATAATTAGCTCGGCATAATCGGCGACCGGCGCACTTTCGCGTTTCAAGTACGCGCGATACACCCGTGAATGAGCGCTACGAGATTCATTACGTCGCTTCGCGGCGCTACGAAATACGATTGGGGAGAACGGACGCGTCCTTACGTCGTCGACGTAACTCGAAATCTCATTTCGTGCGCGACATGTTTTCGCAGCGAGTTTTCGCAAACTATGCGAATCGTGTAAATTCACGAGAGATGGAAACCAATTAAGAAAAAAATCGACGAGAATTTACCAATCGAAGGTGGACGCAAATTAAGTAAGAAATTTGTTTAATTATAAGTAATGTTCACCAATGTCTTAATATCGTGAGTCATCGTTACTTACACTTGCAGAAAATGTCATAATAAATTTATGTTCCCGAAATGTGCAACTTCCTCTTATTTTCCCCTCACCTACGTGTAGTCTCTACTCGCTTGCTTTAGAATATTACAAGTGTGATCGGGTATTAGTTCGTAAAAGTCAGTGAAAAACGGTGTTCCTAGTCAGACAAAAAGATTCGAGGAATTGTCCATTATTCAAAACGCACATTTGCGTAAGTTTTGAATCACGCTCGATCTGTATGACAATGAGGTATCAAAAAAATGGAGATGATAGTCGCAAAAAAGAAACATTATATATACATAAATTATTCATATAACTTATATATGTTGCATGTGTGTGTGTGTGGACAATAAAAAGAAAGATTGCGATGGATATTCGGTAACGCATCAAACCCGCACCCTTCTGCTACGAGAATTTACGATTGTCCACGCGAAAGCGTAGGTAATCGGCGATGATATCACCGTTATAAATAGGCACGCCTCCTGTCTCTTGTGTGTGCACACGTACCCGGGCTCTCACACGCGAATCTGCACCTACCTGTCTGCACGAATGCCCACAACTCTTAGACAGTCGTACACACGCATACGCCTCACGGTGTATACACACGTACAGGTGATCGGACAACGTACAGATCGAAATTCTTTGGGGGACAAATATCTTTGGGGACTCCACGATGATATCGGGAAATTTTGGAGGAATTTACTATTAAGATGTATTAAAATTACTTTGTGAATTTTCATTTAGTAAAAGCTGCCTTATCTCAAACGTAAAAATAATTATTTAGGCCTTTATAAACACTTAATTGTTTGTAAAATTATGCTCCTCGTGAGAGACTGCCTCGAAATGCGTGCCTCTTAAAATTTTATTTGTCAAAGTTTCAAAAGACCGTTAATGATTTCCACGGTCGTCCGCGGAGATATTGTGCTTCGTTGAAGTGGTACGTACACATTGTTCAGACGTGTTGCGTGTGCTCTCGTTGCACGATGCACGGCCTTCGTCCGATCGTGAAGGGAGAGCGTCTCGAGAGCGCCTGATGGCACGTAATTACAGAAAAAGGCGATCGATAAACGCGACAAAATGACGTTCTAAAGACTGCGCACGCGATGGCCTGTAGCTCTAACAAGGGAGTCGACCAGGACGAATCGACGTTCGTACGCACACACGCGGGATTCGTGGGTGAAAAAAAAACTGGGCACGCGTTCAATTCACCGCGGAAGAAACTCGCCGCGAAGTTTTCAAAGCGGCATCGAGTGACATTTGCACGCCTGTCTTCGGGCGATCTTTTTGAAATCGTTTTTGTTTATTCAATGTATATTAAGAACGTCTCAGACTTCAATCTCAGGTACATTGCAAGGAGATTAATTGCGTTTAAAGACCAAAAAGCGAATTCTTTAAGTTGACTTTTCTCAAGCGCTGTGTAAAAAAATTGTTATGTAATAAAGTTCGATGAAAAAAAGGACTGTTCCTACGTAAAATTAAAATATTTCCACCGTCGATTATCCGCGTGTTTGTCGCTTAGGGAGACAATGTCGAATACCAGGAGTAGTAGCGACTGATACTTTTATCCTGCCCGTGGGAAGTCGCGTTCCGAATACAAAACGGGGATCTAAGCTCGAGGAACGATCGCCGGTAGTAGCGGAAGTGGCGAATGGGCCGGTGAGCCGCACTTTGCGCAACGATAAAAGCTCCGCGCGTTTCTTTATTGGATAAAAAATGGCCGGATTCCGAATCGATGATCGGGGGGCCGGCTCGCTACGCGCCGAATAACGAGCGGATGATTACAGTCGCCGTGGGATGTAATGGCAAGTTGCCCGCGAATGTTAAAAAGAGCCATCTCCGTGCCTTCCTCCTCAATTATAGGCGCCTTCCTCGGGAGGTGCTCGGTACCGCCACGTAACATCGCAGTGTGTAACTGCGACGGACGAGCACGCAACACGGACAGCTCGGACTGCATCGCATAACAATAGCGAATGCCCCGCGCGCGATTATTCGATCGGAAGCGATCGTCGCGACGGGGACCGTTAGGTCTTTTCATCATTTATTCCGGACGTCGAGAAGCGACGCTTCCGTTTCTACAACGGGGGAAGTAGACGCCGTGCTCGTTTCGAATTTTTCTCTCGGCCAAACAGTCGTCGCGCGGGCACGTCTTGAGGCCCGTGTCCACGATGCTAGAACTTGGTCTAGTTTCGAGAAATGTGTAGCCAATCAACTGGCAACTATTCCATAAAGGTTGCAACATGTTCTAGCATCGTGGACACCGACGATGCTTAGCGTCTACTTTCCCTAATTGCTACTCTGGACGGTGACAGAATAAAGGCTGGTCTACAATACATGGAGTAAGCTGGAGTAAGGAGTAGGAGTAAGGAAATAAATCCATTTTATTTCTTACTCCTACTTCAGCTCTTAGGCTTACTCCCGGTGAATCAAAATGCCATCAATCAGTGTTACAATTATTTTAAAAATCATGCCCGTATTTCAGCTTCCTTACACCAAAAGCTAGAAGTTAGGGCTCTCCCTTACTCCTTACTCCACGCTTACTCCACGTATTGTAGACCACGCATAAAGCGAATTGCAAGGAAAAGCGAGTGTCGGCCTATACGGAACTTGCGCACAAAGTGGACACGGACGATTCCTATCATTTCATTTACTTTTATTGACCAGCATGATCAACATATATAACATAACAATACCTGTTATGATTAAAAAAAATGAAATATGTACATTTGCGTGTCTCTAAAGAATTAATAAAAAGATTCAAACACGCGTTTGTCCAAACGGACTCGTCCGACAAAAAGATCCGACCGACACAGGCAGTTCTTGAAAGTCTTACGCTATGATAGATAAAATATTTTTGGACACACGAAAAGAGAGGTGTACTCACATTCTTTGTTACGATCCATGGCGTGCTGGAGGGGTGAATCGTCGACCTCCGCCTTTGGCGGCGACTGATTGCCCTCGGCCATCTTCGATTCCGATCCTGGAACAGCACTCGCGGTCTTCCTTCCTGCCGCGTCCGCCGCTGCTTTATCCTGCTGCGGCGAGGGCTTCGTTCCTTTCTTACCGTTTCCAGCGTCCCTGCAGGCCCGAAGAACGGACCGAAACGAGCAAAACGTCGCTGTTTTGTGAATTAATCTTTCATACGTCGGCACGAAGAGACCGATCGAGCCTGCCGGGTAGCGATCGAAGCTCGAGTGTCAATCGGACCCCGGGCCCTTCGCGGCATGTTTTTGTCGCGAATGACGGAATGACGGATCAATCGACACTCGACCGAACGACGTTTTCATCAGAAAACGAAGTCAGGAACAGCTGGCTCTTTCCTTCTCTCCGAGCGCGAGGTGAATCTACACCGAGCAAGAAACGTCGGACGTCGAGTTGTATCTACGTCGATAGTTTATACCTCGAGTGTGTATCCCCGCGAGTCTACTCGATCTTCAATAAACTAAAAATATCTAGAAATAATACGTCATTCCCATCGTCCCACGTCGGCAATTTCCGCGAACCGGTTCTCTCTTAAACAAACTAAATGTATATAAACCGTATTATTTTGATATGCGGAAGAGGATTGAACGTTACGAGGAAATGAATTCTTCAGTATCACAATATTTTGAGTTTCTACGGCACTTTTTATCATTAGAGCAAGCGCGTATTTCTTCCTAACATTCGTTCCCAGATAATGCGAATATCGTGTAAAACGAACGCAAACGTTATATGCAACTTGCGAATAAGTTGGTGTAACCAGAAAAATTATCGAGTCACGCTTCTTCGGCGGCGAAAGGGTAACAACGAGCGTTTTAGTCATCGGAGGGTGAAAACGTTTATCTCGACGGACCCGACGATGGATCCGTGAGAGCTTCGCGCGGATCCAGATGGTACGCGCGAGGCATAGACGAGCGAAATGTCACGCGAGAGATCCGCCTGTTCGGATTTTATCTCGCTAAAAGTTCAGAGGAAATTACGCGCGCGGCGCTTTGCGCGGAATCCATACGTAGAGGAGAGTTGGCGAGCCGATTAAAGATTTTAAAGCGTCGAGAGCCAACGATACGGCTCAGGTAGTTTAAGATGCCGAGGGGAAAGTTCCGAGAAAAGATTACTCGTCACAGCTGGAGATAGGAAGCCGGTCGTTAAGAGCGTTTATATTCTCGCGTAACGATTACACGCGGTACTGATACTAAATTGCGGGTTAATCGTCCGCTCGGACGCGGCCCTAGCGTCTCGCGCGATCTCGCAACTCGCAGCGGCGGATTCAGGCGCTCGAAGGTCCGCGAGAGACAACACTGCTATCTCCCACTTAAGCAGTTTACAATAAAAAAAAAGTTAAGTCAAACTCCGACTTAATTGTTACTTAAAGCAAAAGATATTAGATTGAATTTTGACCTTACTAGACTTTTATTTAATTTCAAAGAAATAATTTCTTTACCTTAACCAAAATTTTATTTGATCGAGGCTGGAATTTCTAAGAGAATTCATATCTATTTCTTCAGATCTAACAAATGTTTCAGTACAAGTAAATAAAAATTTAGCAGATTCAAAGAAATATGATTTCGACGTATCTCTTTTGCTTAACCCTAACTGAATCTTCTTTCTGGGTATGCGCGAGAAAGCCCCAAATTAAAAATTTTATTAAATAGATAACATTTTTTACCTCGAGTAATAATTAATTAAGACGGAGTTCGACATTTTTTGATAGTAAACTACTATTATTAGCTCGGAGTTCCTGCGTTTCAAAATCTCTGCGAGAGAGATCTCGGGTAAGAGCGGTAAGGGTATCTCCCGGACCCGTGCGATAATCCGCTACTTAGCAAGTTGTCTTCTTCCTGCTGCGTTTCGGCGCGGCGCGTGCACCGCGCTGCATCGCGAGCTAATAGAAACAACGTCCGCCGAGATAATGACTGCGGGCGACGCGCGACAAAGCGTCGGGGTGTAGCCCGCGGAGCTTGTTAAAATAATCGAGACAGGTGCCGAGCGAAGACGTGTCTATTTCTCGATCGCGATAACGCCCTTGCCTTACGCCCAGCGCGCGATCGGGAGGAACGCGCAACGTCTATTACTCCTTTTTGCACGCGGGACGCGTGCATACCGGTTATGCGCTCGCGTGGAAACCGGCGGAGGGTGATAACGCGATTCAGATATTCCCCCCGTTTCGCCATTTCACGAGGTTTTATTAATATTCGATCGGTATAACTTGGGCCTCCTCCGGCCTGGCGAGACCCGCTCTCTCGCTCTGCGCGCGTCGCGTAATCTACATACGGCGCGGCGCGCAAATTATCTCACCTCTCGTCCTTGGCGTCGCGCCTAGGGTCCTTCCTGTCCCGGTCCTTATCCTTATGGCCGTCCGCTTTTTTCGCCTTGGACTTGGACTTGGCGTCGCCCTTGGCGACCTTGTGCTCACCACCGCGTTCGGCGACGACGACCACGGCGGCGCTGTCGCTGCAGGATTGCGCGCCGGAAGCGCTCGATGACGTGGGGGACGACGTCGACGCTGCTCGACTGTTAGTGTAATCCTGCGCGAGGAGCGCACCTCGTTATCCCGCATTCGTTCAACGAGCATTCTGGCTACGGCGCGAAGAAAGAGTAAAACAGGCCTTACCTTGAACCACTCCGGATAGATCGCGCTGATGGTATCCAGAAGGTCCTGATCAAGTTGTATCCTCCAAAACGGGGAGCCGCTGTCCAACCTGTGGCCAGACTCTGAAACCAGAGGGAATAAAAAGTTAGTTTAATTTAAAGACCACACAGAGCGTGTACACATTATTAAACCGAGTACTTGTACAAAGCACGATAAAGTACAGGCATAAAGGGAAAAAAACTGATGTATATAGTAAAGCGAAGATGTCACCGTGAACAGCCGCTGCTCGCGGACAGGATTTAAAATGTGCAAGTTTCGAAGCCGCGGCGCGAAGGATCGCGGGTCGGGCCCTTAAGAGTCATTCCTGCCGCATAAGGGCTAATAGTGCCCCACGAGCGTGATACGCCCAAAGGCGTATCAAAACCTCGCGGAATGCCGGTCTCGTCGTTTCTTCCGCGCATTCCGGAGGATTCTCTGCCTAATTTAAACGTTGATCGGTACCAAGGGATCACCCGGTGGGATGCTGAGGAGGTAAAGGACGGCCCCGAGGTAGCCGCGGGCACATCCTCGCGAGGACGCGCGGAAGGAAACGACAGAGAGAAGGAGAGGGAGAAAGAAAGAGAGGAGGCCCCTTCGTTACGGCGACATTCTACGCGGGACGCGTGTCCTGCCTTCGTAATCGAGGATCGAAGAGAGCGAGAGATGAAAAACAAGAAGCGCTGCTCCCAAGGGACTTTCGAATACCCCGATCGGCGACGGAAACGCGATTTTTGCGACGCCGTTAGGGTGAACGCGCTTTCTAAAACGTAACCACACTGACCGTCTGTATAGCTTTACATAAACGCCGCCTATCGAGCATGTAACTCCGATACCGTCACGACTGTGCGCGAAACATTTTTATCCACAAATTACTTGTCAAATTTCAAGAACTGTCAAGTATTTGAATGCGCAGAGAGTTGTATCTAAATCCGTGATATTTCTTGTTAATCGAAATTCTGTAAATGTCTTCGATTCTGTCAACCAGCCGCATATCGAAACACGCCGAGGCGCGAAGCGGGAAGATAAGAGGGTCCGAACGTACCCTTCGAGAGACGGAGGGAAGAATTTCACCTTAGCCCAATAAATGATCGCGGCGCCGGGAGAGCGGCATAAATGCTCAATCAGTATGCGCGCGTACCGGACAATCCGCTGTAAATCACATGCCGTGAATCATTCGCCGACATAAATCTAGCCACGGTCTCCGATCAATACGCTCCTAACCGGTCCGACACATTAGTTAAACGCCGGTACTAGTCGCCATCGTTTACGGGACACATGGGACACGCGAGGTGAACCTCGCGTGACTCTCCCCACAAAAAGCAACGGCGACGTCGATGGCCTAATAGCGCCGATTCGAGAGAATCCACGACAAAGCGATACATCATCGGTGAGACGCACGTCCCCGATCGTTGGTCGGATATTGATTTATCGGATATCGTCGCGAGCCAGATCGGGATAATCACCACGAGTCCGCCGATAATAATAAATCGTTCAATTTCGAGGCTGAAACTGGACGCGCCGATAAGGCCCGGTTTTTCATTTGCTGATTAAATG